CTGATTATGAATATTTACTTGTGGAATATTGTTCCGTTGCCATTCTCATTTCATATAGATTCCTATTAAAATATTACTATGTATGAAGAAAAAAACTTATCGTGAATTGAATCGATCCGTGATGAAAGTGCAAGGCAGCGTTGGCGCGCAGCGGCGTCACGTAGGCGGGAGGCGGAGATATGCTCCCAAGACTCCGCCTGCCACGCTTCCCGCACTTCTCTTGTTCTCAACATTTCAGCCGTAACTCCTCGTGAAATATGGTATTTATTTATAAGAAAAACCTATTATCGTGGTCGTATTTTGTATAGGAGGGAATTATGGAGCATCTACACTGAAGGTCATGAGTATGTTAAAAATCCGATAATATCAAATGCTAGCAATAAATCCTGGGCATTTGAGGGCATAAGTCCTCGCCGACCGAGGGTAGGACGAGTTACAAAATGGCCGCCGCTGCCAAATTTGGGCATCGTCATTGGTTGTGTTAATCTTAAGGTACTAATTAATATGTCTATCTTCGAAGAAACGGACTCTGTGAAAAACATCATGCAACGTTCTGATGTAGAGCCGCCATTAACAATTAATCGATGACCCTTCATCGATGTCATCAACGTAATAAGTTTTCAGTGGCGTCGTTACCCTGTGGCCACGATGATTCGCTCAAAGGCTTTTGACTTGTAAGTTTTGACGTACGTGCGTTACACTTCATGGCAAATTTTTCTCTCATGCACTGAATTTTCCTTATTTTTCTCTGCAGTATAGTATATGTTCAGTCTTGAAATGCCTAGCACCTTACGAACCAGGCCATAACACATCCATGCGACAACATTTCTTCTCGCTTCGAGTCACTGACATGTGGAACAGCCTCCCTGATAGCATCGTTGACGCTCCGAGTATGAACGCCTTCAAGAACAGACTAGACGAAGCTATGCAGGAGCATATGTTCAGTCTAAAAATGCCTAGCAAATTACGGACCAGGCAATAAGTCCAGACGAAGCTATGCAGGAGCATATGTTCAGTCTAAAAATGCCTAGCAAATTACGGACCAGGCAACAAGTCCAGCAGCTATCTCAATCAATCGTCAGCTATGGAAAGATCGGGTTCCCTTGTGAATCAAGTCACGAAAAATTCAAGAATCGGCAATAGGCCATGGGCCTATTTCTTCAGTGCCGACATTTCTATTCTATTCTATTCTATAAGTCCAGCAGCTATCTCAATCAATTCGTCAGTTATGGAAAGATCGGGCTCCAAAGGCCGGATCCCTTGTGAATCAAGTCACTAGGCTTTTGACTTGTAAGTTTTGACGTACATGCGTTACACTTCAGTGCAAATTTTCCTCTCCTGCACTGAATTTTCCTTATTTTTCTCTGCAGGAGCATATGTGCAGTCTTGAAATGCCTAGCACCCTACAAGCAATAAGTTCAGCAGCTATCTCAATCAATCGTCAGTTATGGAAATCGAAAGATCGGGTTGAATCCTTGTGAATCAAGTCACGAAAAGTACAAGAATCGGCAACAGACCATGGGCCTATTTCTCCAGTGCCGACCCTTCTATTCTATTCTATATGCTTAAAGTTTGTGCACATATTGGCTTATTAATACTCAAAATAATTCCTAATGTATAGTGATGGCGTAACGAATAGAATTTGGTACAGAACTTCAAAAGAATAATCCGGATGCTCGGAATTCCGTTTTTAAAGTAGCCTAAATTTTGTTGCGTTTATTATTTTTGGGAACACTTTTCCGCCACATTTAGGGCATGCTCTCTAATAATAGAACGACCATGATTTTGGTGTGAAAATTATCTTTATTTTCATTGTGGTGCGTACATATTTAATTGTAATTTGTAGCGCGACCTTTGAGGCGTGTGAGAAGGCTCGTGTTGATGTAGCAATGTTGACCGTCACTCCAACGTGTGAAGTAGAAAGTTCATTAGAACAATTTCATTGTAAAATGTAATGTTTTTGATTGATGTTATCGAGGAGAAAGTTTCAGGTAGTGGCTGCCTCAAATTTGCACGTACTATACGGCTTTTGAACTATTTTTTGTAGGAAATTTTTGAGTTGAAAATATGCTCCAGGTTGTAGGTAAACCCTGCAATATTACTGTCAGAAAAAAGGTTAAAAAATATAACTCAGTACTCACTGCAGTGAGTGACAGAGAGCGCATTTTCTCGTCAACGAAAACTTGAGGTCACGGACGGACGGACGGACAGACAGACAGACGGACATGGCGAGCACAATAAATCATTTATTGCACAAATGAGAAAATGCGCTAAAAATGACAAGACTGACGTCGGTTAAAATGTCCCTGTGTATAACTCAAGTTAACACGACGCTTTTCCGGTACTATTGACTTATATTATTAAACCGAAGTAAATAATTTTAATTAAGTTGAACGCGAGCATTAAACGCAGTTTTGGCAGAACTCTCATCAAACTATTTTAGTGAACTAATGTAAATAACATTTTTTCAGATATTTTCTCATTCACTTGAAAATGCTAACTCATATAATTCATTCATCTTTAGGGGGGAGGAGTTAATGCTCATTCATTTTTCTTATGCTTTATTGAGTATTTTTACAAGTTTTTGCCGGTCATGCAAAGTCTGATTGTAAATCTTGTACCTATATGTTGTAAGTCTTTGAAAATCGTAAATGGCGAAAACTTGCAGATTGTGCAATGTTTTGTCTTGTAGAAGCTGGTATAATATTTATAAGCAATTTGTAGGTAAACCCTGCAATATTACTGTCAGAAAGATGGTTGAAAAATTACATGACTGACGTCGGTTAAAATGTCCCTGTGTATAACTAAAGTTAACACGACGCTTTTCCGTTACTCTAGACACGTATTATTAAACCGCACACTGTTAGAAAAATTCCACGTAACGGTATTACCGGCGTTTCAGTGGCCGGTCGGCACGTGAAAAGAAACACCGTGTCGCCGTTTTTATTCTAATTTAACACTAGAAATCCGTAAAACATCTGATAAAAGCGGCGAAACAGTTTATTTTCACGGGGCCACCGGCCACTAGGAGGCCAGTGCATGGACCGTTTTTTCACCGTTTTTTCTAACAGTGCACTAAATAATTTTAATTGAGTTGAATGTGAGCACTGAACGTAATTTTGGCAGAACTCTCATGAAATTATTTTACTGAACGAATGTAAATAACATTTGTTTTGGATATTTTGTCATTCACTTGAAAATACGAACTCATATAATTCATTCATCTCTAGGGGGGGGAATGCTCATTTATGTTTATTTTGCTCTATTGAGTATTTTTACAAGTTCTTGCCGGTCATTCAAAGTCTGATTGTAAATCTTGTATGTTGCAAGTCTTTGAAAATCGTAAACTGTCGAAAACTTACAGATTGTGCAATGTTTTTTCTTGTAGAAGCTGGAAGAATATTTATAAGCAAACTGCTAGTCGTATGCACATGATAATTCTTACTGCAATAAAACGAAAAAATGTTTTTAACATGGGGAACGTTTTTTACCATCATTGTAATTAAAAATTCAACACCTCAGTATTTTGTTCAATAGTCGCGTTTATTTAACATTCATCGGTTGAAGTGTACATATGTGTGGCTTGAAGAAAGTCTCCACACGATGATGAAGTGCAAAAAGCCTTCTTTAAAATTTGTCACCATCTTCTTTCAAAAAGTCTTCTTTAAAATTTTTTCGAAAATCCTTCTTTAATTCAATCCAACTATATAGGGAGGCTGGGCTGTAATGACGCATATTTTTTAAGTTACGTTTTACCGCCTCATTTAATTTTTACGTTGTGTAATTATTAACCGAGCTCAATTTTTGTTATAAACACAATTTTCTGATTATTGTATGCTCAAGACGCCCATATAATAGAAGCAATATAGAAGGTGCTGCTTTTGTCTTCAAGCAGCACCTTGAAGCATGCACATGAGATTTGCATTAAGCATTTATCATGGGTGCCTCGATCATAGGGTCACTAGTTTACGCGCTTGGTCAGTATAGTATATACGTCAGAGAAATAGTTATGTACAATAACAATACTAATGAGTGTCACATGAATAGAAATGTAAATCGCGCATCAAGTGCTACTAACACTTTTTTTTGTTTTCGAACAATACGCTGCTGAGAGTCTCGTTATTCTCAATCATCCTTTTCCACTCTTTATAAAGTTTTAGTTTTTTACCTTTTAGGGCAAATAATGATGAATTTGATGTGAGGAGATGTACTCTATTTCTGAATATACTCTACTAAATTTACGAATGTAATTTCGCATTAAATTTTTTTTTAAAACCCGACCTATATCGCGTATGAATTTTTCTACGGTATCTTATTTGTATATTTTATATATTCTTTATTTAATGGTGTCTTACACAATCTTTATTTAAAAGTGTCTTATACAATCTTTATTTAAAATTGTCTTATACAATCTTTATCTAAAAGTGTCTTATACAATCTTTATTTAAANTTTATTCGATTATTAATAACGAGCCAGACGCATGACATTCTGTCTCTTATACACATCTAGATGTGTATAAGAGAGTGAAGTAGGGTGGTTGAAATTTATATGGATGCGATTTTCGAATTTGTTAATTTCCTGATCAGTAAGACGTGCAATTTTTATGCAACTTGCAATTTGTGTGAGATGCCAGACATCTTGTTCAATTTATCCAGTTAGTTTGCAAGCATTGCTTAGGTTACTCTCAAGGTTATTTGAATAACCACCCTAAAAAATACGTTAAAAACAGTTGAGTTTTCACTTTGACTTTATATACATTTTTAAATTGTTAGGATGAACTGGTATAGAAGCACCGGATAACATTGGAGAATGAGCCATATGATCCATGGAGTATAGCTTCAAAGCATATGCGTGTGCTGTTGGTTGTTTATTCAGAATAAATAGTTTCGAGATAAATTTATCGATTTCACGTTTCAATCCATAGTGTTAAACAAGTTCAAATATTTCGTACATTTCAATAGAAATTCCTACATCAGCAATTTTCTTTCATCACAGAACCATCGGTGGAGGAGGAGTTCCAGCAGAATTCCTCTGACCCGAAGCATCTCAGGCTTACATCCTCTAGAGCAGATCCCGACAGTGTTCAATCCTCGTGAGCGAAGAATGAGCCAAAGCAATGACAGCAGCGACGACGAGCCCACTCACTGCTACTGGCCGCCCCTCAACCGCCCCGTCGCTCCATGTCCTCCGTACACAGATTTTAAAGCCCATCATCCCCAGCCTTGCACACGCGTCCAGGGCGAGATCTCGCCGGCAAGTGTATCGCCTGTGCAGAGTAACGACGATGAGCTACCACCGCCCTACATCTCCGTGTCCAACTGCCACCCTCAACCTGGTGCAGGTTTCAGCGGTACAAAGATATCCTCACCACAACCAATGCCCAATTCTCCCGAAGAACCAATTTTTGCTAACGTCGTCATCGGCACTTCATGTGAGTTTTCATACCATGGAATGTCTTGCGTTTTTTAGTTATTATTCTGAGTCAGACCTATTACTATTAACGCAACTTCGAACTCGCTGTAAAATAACACGTTTTGGTAAAATGATACAAAAGTTTTTTTAACATTGTTTTCATATTCTTGGATTTAGGAGTATAATCATAACCGTAGTGACATAAAATAAATTTTTCTTTCAGGGAAAGGAGCGGAATCTGAATCGAAAAACTTGACATGCTTGCGAAAGTTTCCTCGATCGAAAGCGTCCGACATACCTAAAATTCCTGCGCCTGTCTCTCCACGCAGTAGATCTAGACACTCCAAATTGCACTGTAGGGTCGAGCGACCACTACGTAGAGAGAGAGAAGATATTAGAACGAAATCTTGTGCCACTGAGCTACCGCTGGATGACAGTAGAATAAAAGAATTGAGTTCATTCCTGCCAGACTCTTCTCTGAACGACATGAGTCCACCTCGAAAACTTGCACCCAGTCCACCTATCACAGACGCTGCGGCTCCCAAACCCAAAGACTTAACTTGTTCTTCTCCTTATTCTTCTGCTACAAATACATTGTCAACCACTCTATCACCGTCTCATCAATTGAATTCTGCAAGTCCAATCTCGTCAACATCTCCTTCCCATTCCTTTTGCTCATCGCTGACATCAGTTAGTCCTCATCGTTCCACCATGACGTCTCCCTTGCTCACAGCCACAAGCGAGGTGTCATCTCCTCACCGCAGCTCCGCTCATGTCACCAACACAATCGCAGGCACCACTGACCTCCAATCCTCCGATTCTCCCAGGCATCAACCTTTAATGTATCCTAGCAATTCACCTGCTCGCCGAAAGGCTTCTCCCTCTCGAACCCTTTCTTCTTCTCAGCACCTGACCGTGTCTTCTGCTTCTTCTCCTGCCCGCTATTTCATCCCAGTATGCGGCGACCCAGTGATGTCTCAGGCCGCGGACTGTCCACCGTGCGCTGGTGAAGAGGAATTTGATCGAACGGAGGCTCCTATAGAAGACGCAGAAGGACCTGCTTCCGTAGATGACATGCGGCGCCGGTCTTCGAGTTCATCTTCGTCTTCCTCTCAGTTTTCCTGCAGTAGACAAATGTCAACTTGCAGCAGCGACAGCCCCCTACTCGTGCCCGGCAGTCCCGCGCGACCAGCGCTGCCGCCCAGAGGGGCCAAACTTGAACAAGTCCCAGCTAGACCAAGCGTGAGTTTTTAATTAAGCAATAAAACATCTTCATTAATAATGTATTGTCTTGAAATATATTACGATTTCTAAAAATCGTTTTGATGGCGAACGAAAGCAGATGAGATTGTGGCGCTCGGTGGTAATTGGGAATGATCTTTCACGAAAGTAATATTCTCTTTACATATTATTTGATATGTAAAAGTGCAAGATGCTGTATATCTTTTCTTCTTCAAGGCTGTTTCAGAAATCATATTACTAAGCCAAGACTAATTCAACTTGCTTATTTATGAACAAGTTTTATTGTTATTCTCAAGAACTGAATAGCTACTAATTTCTTGCCGTTATAACAAAAACTTTATACGAGTATGTTTCTTTGTAATTATGGTTATTTTAAGTGTGCGTTTCGTTTGATGTGTGATCGCAGAGCGCCAGCAAACCCCCACCGAGCTTGCCACCCAAAGGAGTGTCTGCCCCGGCGCCTCCTCTACCCCCCAGCAAGCTACGTCGCCAGGAGTGATGTGCCACTTGCTACTCCAATTAAAGTAACGATAGGAATTATACTGTGAACTGTTAAGCATTATATTACTACTATTAATCGTTATGGATCAAAAAATGCCTAGCTGTGGACACATTATGCTATAATTACCAACCATGTACTTGGTTGATTAGTTCAGTATCGATGAGAGTATTCAGTAGGTTCGTTACTGCTATTGTGAGAAATAATTGAGCCGTAGAGTATGAAAGTACATTGTGTAGGTAATGCAAATTTTGCAGTAAATAGCTCATTAATTACTCAGGACCATTGCAGTGCTTGTAAGCATATACTCGAGGGTAACGGGAAATATTACAAATAATTTCGACGCGTTAACAGAGCGTTCCATCGGCCAGAACTTTTTTTTCCGGAGAGGAATTCGAAATATTTTGGTATCATTTCTTTGCTGAAAATGATGTGTTTTTTGATGGTTTGAGTTTAGCGTTTTCCTGACAAGTTCTTCATTTTCTCTCTCCCAAAAAAAAAAGAAATTCGTACAGTAAATTCAACAGTGTCTATTTATATAAAAGTATAAAACTGGATAAGTAAGTCATTCATGAATCTCTTTATGATTTGCGTCCAGTATTTGAGAAATACAAAAGTCCTAAAGGAACATTAAAATATTTACCGGAAACGCTATCAATTTCGAGTTGAAGATGCACAATTTTTTATTGTAATTACTTTCTTAGCTACTTATGAATCGGTTTGCTATCAGCGCACATTTGAGCGTTCAGTTCGGCTCTTCCTCCAAAGATTGTTCAGATTTGTTGAATCATCAGATAATGTAAAAAAGTAAAAGATTGAATTTCTGTATGAAGTGCTACATCACACTTGTTTGCTGTAGGAAGTGCTACATCACACTTGTTTGCTGTAGGAAGTGCTAACTGCTACATCACACTCGTTTGCTGTAGGAAGTGCTACATCACACTCATTTGCTGTAGGAAGTGCTACATCACACTCGTTTTCTGTAGGAAGTGCTACATCACACTTGTTTGCTGTAGGAAGTGCTACATCACACTCGTTTTCTGTAGGAAGTTCGTAAATTTCAGTCGTAACGGGAAAATTCTTAACCCGAAGCGTGCGGAGACATCTCAGGGTTGAGGCAGATATATTAGAATACGGTATTATGTTAACTTCATCCATCATTTAAGCTGCTTTTTGCTAAATTTTCTGCAGGCAGTTTAATGTTGACGCTCGTTTATTAGTCGCAATTCACTTGAAATCACAAATTTTAATATTTGTTTCGGTGCAACTTGGAGGCCAAGCTTTCCCTTAACGCGATCCAGCGGGACGGTTGCTCTGACACCGTCAGCGGTTGTACATACAAGAGGCGCTGTACAGAATTTTGAGTACATTCATAGAATCACCAAAAATGATGATAATTTGCTGATGATGTACATAACTGTTATGTGGTGGTAATTAACGTTTATGTATTTGTAATGACTTGAGTTTCAGGTAATTGTCGTATCGCTCTTGCGGTTCACTACGACCAGAAAGCGTGCAGTTCCTAAGATCGTGTGACTGAGATGACTTCAGCTTGTGTCGTAAGCAAGGTTTCGGCAGACTAAAGTGAAATTTTATTTACTGTATAAATTCATGTATTCGACACGAAGGTCAAATGCTAATTAAACACACACAATTTTTTCAAATATGTCTACTAAAAATAATCAACATTTGAGTGGATCTAATGTATTCTCAGTTGCCAAATAACTGTCAACATGATTAGTGTTGGCACTATCAGGATGATGAGTGTTGACACTGTCAAGATGGTGGGTATTGACACTGTCAAGATGGTGAGTGTTGACACTGACGAGATGGTGAATGTTGACACAGTCAAGATGATGAGTGTTGACACAGTCAAGATGGTGAGTGTTGACACTGTCAAGATGATGAGTGTTGACACTGTCAAGATGGTGAGTGTTGAAACTGTCAAGATGATGAGTGTTGGCAGTGTCAAGATGGTGAGTGTTGACACTGTCAAGATGATGAGTGTTGACACTGCCAAGATGGTGAGTGTTGACACTGTCAAGATGATGATTGTTGACACTGTCAAGATGGTGAGTGTTGACACTGTCAAGATGATGATGATGATTGTTGACACTGTCAAGATGGTGATTGTTGACACTGTCAAGATAATGATTGTTGACACTGTCAAGATGATGAGTGTTAACACTGTCAAGATGGTGAGTGTTGACACTGTCAAGATGATGATTGTTGACACTGTCAAGATGGTGAGTGTTGACATTGTTTCTCTGAATATTTGTCGCAATGGTCGTTTTAACGAGAGCCCCGGCCGAGCGATAAATTTTAATATAAGATTATATTAAATATGTTCATCAAGCTTTCGTTCTGCGCATAAATTCAGAACAATATTAAGTTACTTCAAAATTTAACGCAGCTTATAGCAAGCAGTTCCTAGGAAATTGGTGCTCTCCGTAATAAAGAATAAAAAACTATGCGACTTTCAGGCCCAAATTTTTGTAGCGAAATCTAATTTAATTTTGTAGAAGGCTAGAGCGTCCTGAAGGGTTTCTCTGTCCTGGTGATATTAGAATTAGGATTCGTGCATGAAACATTAGAGGAATATAGGTACGGATTGACTGAAGAAGCCGAGCACAGCACAAATAGATAACTTTACCAGATAATGTACTAGTGAACAGGTGACTTACGCCCTTCATAAGTGTTAAGAAGCAGGGACTTGGGACTTTGAAATTCTCGTAATTTATTTTCTCGGAATTATTTTGTGCAGTCAATGTGAAGGTTCAACTTTTCATCTCGCCGTTAGGCTGATGCTCATTATTTTATGAGGACTAATAACTTCTAATAGCAAAAAATTTTTTTGTGGATCGCTTCCAGCCGAAACTATTAATTTGTTTTGAAGTCTAGCAATACAACGTCGAGATAAAGTGGTCAGAATATTCTCTGAACGCGTTTCTCGATCGGAACATACAAGCTTAGTATTCTTTGTTACAACATTTGTTAGGCGAAATTAGAACAAGAGGAAGAGATTTCAAGAAAATGTATTATATTGTATTAGTGATCATACAAATGAAAAGCAGAGTATGTAACTATTATTTATTGGTAAGATTCTAAAAGGCTAATAATTCCATGTGCTGGTGCATGTATTCTTGTACAGATTTGACAGCTTAGCTACATTAAGTAATACTTTGGTCGATTTATCTATATTTCATGGCAACGTGTATGTTTGAAGCTCTCATTTTTGTCCGGGTGTCTTAACTCTTGGATAATTTTAGTGCAGGCTGCGTGGGGAAGTTAATTAAAATGAAGGTCGTCGATTAAACGCATTTCTTTTCGTATCGTGAATTGTGTTTATACGTGCAATCAGGTAGCCGTGGCAGGTTGCTGGTAGCAGATGAGTGGTGGTGCATTAGGGTACGCAGTACGCACACAGTGAAAGCAGGTTGCCAGCGTGCTGGTTACCTGCTCAGGCTGGCTCCTGAAACCATAGAATACAGAAGCCTATTCGTACAGGTTTTCACTGTGAACACTTACATTATTACCCTATGTTCATTCTTGTGGCAGGTTGGAGCAGGTTGCCCGCGCGGGCAAACCTGCTTTCACTGTGTGCGTACCCTTAGTATTGGCAGGTTGCTGGTAATTGGTGGCAGGTGTTGGTGAGCGGTGGCAGGTGCTGGTGAGTGGTGGCAAGTTGATGATCTCTCACTCAAAAATGAATATTAATACTTCACAGTAGCCCGCTTATTGTCTAATTTTTTCAACTAAATGAGTGCAACAAATAACATCGCTAGGAACTTTCGGACAGCTGATCGGTCAAAGGGGGATGGCTGAAGATATACTTATTTATATAATCGTTTATACTAAGCATTAAAATAAATTTTGATCAGATTTACTAATTATTATATCCTGTGAACATCATTCTTTACATATTAAATGCCAATAAAAATTGTAAGTATGAAACACGGTTAACAAATAAATTGAAATAATCATCAGACTGTCTAATGTACATATTTAATCAGCAGACAACGCACCGATAATTCCAGTCAGAAGTTGTTTACTAGTAACAGTCCATTGTAAGGTGAGTTGGCTCGCTGTATTCAAGTTCAACTTTCTCTATCTTTCGCCGCCGCACCTGAAGTTCTATGTCTTCCAGAAGTTCCAGAACTTCACGGTTCGCTCGCTCGGCGTCACTCTCCGCGGTTGCCAAATTTTCACTGAAGTGAAGAAATTTCTCGACGCTCACCGCTGGAGTTTGCGGACGGTCGCTTGGCAGCAACGAAACGACATCGCGTGTCCGGCACAGAGCGCTAAGTGTGAGACGGTCGGGATAATCCAGCACCGCTTCAAGGATGGCATCCACTTCGCTGGAGGCCGCGGCGTTCGTCAGCGTGCCATTATCATCATTTTGCCTGCTGTCTTCAATACGGTCATCAAGGGTTCTTTCAACCTCGGCATTTGTCCGACACGATACCAGCAATTGGTGACCAGCATCGTCACTGGTCGAATTGTTATTCAGTTGGTTTATCTTGCATTGCACCAACCCCACGCTGCATGCATCAGTTTCACGGAGATGTTCACCCACCGCCTTGGTTCCGCTACCAACAATTGCTGTTGAGCTCTCCAGTACAACACTCGCTTCATTGCTGCTGGTGGGAGGAACGGCCAAGCCTGGGCCGGTAGAAGTTGCTGACTCTTCTATTTTGACGCGTTTTGCCGTTTGCTCAGTATCCTTATTATGGCTAATAAGAATATCCCTTAACGAGTGAGTTAAGCGTAATGCTTCTCTTCGTATGGATGTCACGGCATCAGTGCTGCACTGCATTATACACCAGACGCTTCCGTCCGAGCAGAAACTGTAAAAATCATACCAATTTGCTTTAACATTGCCAAAAATTTGTCAAATTTTATAGATCGAGAATTTTCTTCATTTGTGTTTAAATAACATTTTTCAGAGGACTTGCTTTGTCAACTTTAGAATGTTTTCCTCTAAATAAAATGATAATTATTTCATTCAATAATTAGATCCTATCCATAGGAATCCCTTATTTTAAAACCAGTTGATATTCAATAATCAATCACTGACCAGTTAATAGCTGTGCTGGAGGGCCTGACATTCTGCGCGCTGCCCTTTACAGCTCCTGGAATGTATTTGGGATGCCTTACAAACTATGGATTATAAGCTTCAATATTAAAACTGACATGACGTGAGAAGTTTAGTTCACTTTCAACAATATATCTAAGTGGTAAACAATTCAAATTTGACTGCGTTTGAAGTGAGTTGTTAGTTCGACAGTGACAAATAAGCTTGAACTCACCAACAGAAGCGCTGTTTATGTGAGCTTCAAGGTACTCGAAGGCAGCGAGTCTGATGTTGTCGCTGTCAACGCTGCAGAAGTGCTGGGCGTGGTGAAGGGCAGTGGACAGACAGGCTGCCGTTCGCTTTCCCCTATACAGACAGCTGCAATTGTACAATATTGTTAAAACTTTGTTTACCCTATACTGAAATTTCTATAGCTCAGAGTATGATATCATCGAACGAACTGTGAAAACTTCTTGAGCGTTGCATATTAGAGGCAAGTATAAAGAAAAGTGAAAAGTGACAGTACGATGAAAAGTGTAAAACTGATATTCTCACAAGAAATAGCGTTTTAACGAAAAGGGGAATTTCCTTCAACCAAGCAATAATAACGAAATTTATGATACCATCCATCTTCTTAGCTTTTTTTAAATCAAAATTTTCCTAAGAAACACTAATTTCAATAGCGAATGCGTTTGTAACAAACAACGGATTTTCTCCTTTGATTTCTATGAAACATAAATATTATTGGAATGAATAAAAGCATTTACAATTGATTATTTGACGTAAAATGATGGATGATTCTCACCAGCAACTGATGTGAAGAGTTCGTAAAAATTGTAAGCAGCTGTTCTCATTTAAATTTTTACAGAATGCATTTTATATTAAAAAATGTAACTCAGTACTCACTGCAGTGAGTGACAGAGAGCGCATTTTCTCGTCGACGAAGACTTGAGGTCACGGACGGACAGACAGACAGACATACATATAGCCTCCATCAGCAGCTGAGCAGCCGTACACTGCACGAAGCTCTCCGTGCAGTCCAGCAGTGCTTCTGTACTGCGCTGTATGCAGCCTGAGAACAACTCCCTGCGGTACTCTGCAAAGATTGAATGCATCAATGATGATTATCATGACCGGGCAGGCGTTACCTTAACATTTCAAATTTTAGGGTAGTTTACATTGAATATATAGAACATGAGAACATCTTTTGCTATAATTATTACTATATTTAGTCCACCAAGATAATTAGGATTTGTAGGAACAATATAGTTAATTCACGCAGTGCTAAGACTGGCGGCACAATACTACGTTACGCCAGCACCTGATATTTTTGTACTCAAAGGAAACTCCTAAACATGAAGCATAAATAGCTTAATGTTCCTTCTCTGTTAACCCATAACTTGAAGGGAAAATAACTCGATACTTCTGCTCTTTCAACCCATAACTTGAAGGGTAAATAACTCAATACTTCTGCTCTTTCAACCCATAACTTGAAGGGGAAATAACTCAATAATTCTGCTCTTTCAACCCATAACCTGAAGGACAAATAGCTCCATATTTCTGCTCTTTCATTGCATAACTTGAAGGTTAAATAACTCCATATTCCTGCTCTTTCAACCCATAACTTGAAGGGTAAAAAAACTCAATACATCTGCTCTTACAACCCATAACTTGAAGGTAAATAACTCAAAACTGCTCTTTCAACCCATTGTCCTCACTCTGGTAAGGTAGAGCAGGGAAGAGCAATCGGAGAGCAGAATCTCGCACCTCCCACGCTGCGTGACACAAGCCAACCTCCACCATCTGCAGCATATATGAGTATTTAAATATATGAGTAATGAATATAAATAAATAAATAAATATGAGTATTAAATATACGCGTATTTAAAGCGTGACACAAGCCAACCTACACCATCTGCAGCATATATGAGTATTTAAAGGAAGCTGGTCACGTTCCTCAACTCATATTCTTGTAAAAATTGTTAATAATATGAAAAAGTTCCAGTATGTCATCAAATATTGCAATATTTTCCCGTGGTTCTTCTGTAAACGTCAAGTAGTACAACGTAAAGAATATTCAGTACACTGTATATACAGTGGGGGGAAATAAATATTCGTACACTTGAAAAATCGTATTTTAATGTATGTAAGTACACAAACTTAACAGGAAAAGTGATTTGTGAAGAGTTCGTAAAAATTGTAAGTAGCTGTTCTCGTCTAAATTTATACCGAATGCATTTTATATTAAAAAATTCAACTCAGTATTCACTGCAGTGAGCGACAGAGAGCGCATTTTCTCGTCGACGAAGACTTGAGGTCACGGACGGACGGACAGACGGATGGACGGACAGACAGACATAAGGACATGGCGAGCACATTAGTGCATTTTTCCATAAATGAGAAAATGCGCTAAAATAGTAAATTTAAACATATAAAGAGGGGAATCTTACATGCTGCGGCAGTGGATAGCGCCCAGCAGACGCAGCGCAGCGGCCACAACAGCGTCGTCGTCGCAGCCCTCGAGGACGGCGCTACTGCAGCACACGCGCATGCACCAGTCGTGCGCCGCGACCCAGTCCCACCCCTGGGGATATTGCATGTTACTGCGAATATTACATGATCGTACGAATATTACATGATCGTACGAATATTACATGATCGTACGAATATTACATGATTGTATGAATATTAAATGATCGTACGAATATTAAATAATCGTACGAATATTACATGATTGTACGAATAGTACATGTTATTACAAATATTAATTACATGATTGTATGAATATTACATGATCCTACGAATAGTACATGTTATTACGAATATTAATTACACGAATGTATGAATATTACATGATCCAACGAATAGTACATGTTATTACAAATATTAATTACACGATTGTATGAATATTACATGATTCTACGAGCATTACATGTTCCTATGAATATTACATGATCGTACGAATATTAAATGTTCGGGTATATTAACGAGCATTGATAGCCGTAGGAAGATCACATGATCGTAGCTATCGAAGAGCACTGAGACCTGTAGTAATATTACATGTTCGTGGATATTTAGGATTCGTTAATAGAAACGAATACATCATGGAGAACAGACAAGAGCAAATGAAGGAAGCGACACCAGCCTGAGGCATAACAAAGTTATCTACCTATTACGTGTAACTATATAATGTCCTCTATTACTAGATGAATATAGGTAAATTTCAACTTGACCATATGTAGATTTTAAAGATGTCATATGCAAGAAGGAAAAAGTGGTAGCACTACGCTTACCTCCATGTCGTAGTCCTTAGCCTCCATCAGCAGCTGAGCAGCCGTACACTGCACGAAGCTCTCCGTGCAGTCCAGCAGTGCTTCCGTACTGCGCTGTATGCAGCCTGAGAACAACTCCGTGCGGTACTCTGCAATAATTCAATGCGTCAACGATGATTAACATAACCGAGCAGGCGTTTCCTTGACATTTTGAATTTTAGAGTAGTTTATATCGTATAAGTAAAACATGAGAACATCTTTTGCTATAATTATTATATTTAGTTCACAAAGATAATTAAGATTTATAGGAATAATAAAGTTAGTTCATGCTGTGCTAAGACAGGCGGCAATGCTTCACTTTCCATTGCGTAGCTGAATGGCGTGAGTTACACATATTGAAGAGTAATTGTACTAAATATGGTTAGCCACACAATACTATGTTACGCCAGCACCTGACATTATTGTACGCAAGCGAAACTCCCTAACATGAAGGTTAAAGAACTCAGCATTTTTGCTCATTCAACCCATAACTTCAAGCAAGGTTAAATTCAACTCAACACTTCTACTCTTTCAACCCATAACTTAAAGGTTAAATGACTCCATATTCCTGCTCTTTCAACACATTGTCCTCACTCTGGTAAGGAAGAGCAGGGAAGAGCAATCGAAGAGCAGAATCTCGCACCTCCCACGCTGCGTGACACAAGCCAACCTCCACCATCTGCAGCATGTATGAGTATTTACAGGAAGCTGGTCACCTCAACTTATGGCCTTGTAAAAAATTGTTAATAATATGAAAAAGTTCCAGTATGTCGTCAAAGATTGCAATATGTTCCCGTGGTTCTTATGCAGTAGTAAAAGGTAAAGAATATTCAGTACACTTAGATCGGCTGTGCACAATCTCACGAGTATCAAAACAAGCAGGAAGAAACTGAGTTTAGAATAGTCGATGCTCATTGATAGGCGTCAAAAATAATATTTTCTGATGGAATTTCACTTTATTTTTTAGAGGAAGTAAATATATGATTTCTTAACTTTATTTATGTAAGTTAATCTTTACAAAATATTCGCCGTATTAATAATGAAAAATATTTGCCTCGGAATAATTAAGAAGAAGCGGTCACTCGACTTACATTCCTGACGCAGGCCGCATCAGGGAGCAGGTCTTCGGACTCTGACATGAACTGCAGCAGACAGTCCAAGATGGCGACGGCGCGCTGACAACAGAACGTCAACAGGCATTAATTGACAAGTTGTGCTGTTTAATTGACAACGAGCAAACAAACGGATCAAGTTATAAATACTCGTTACCCATAAAGGACATTTTTGTTAGAATTTAAATGAGTTGACGAGTGTCCGGGCCACGTTACTTGACTGTTGGCATTTGCTTTTACTTCACCAAATAACTGCAGGAATTACGCCATGAAAATGACCTTGCAGGTCTCGACCGACCCTCTAATAATTTCTCACAAATGACAATATCAGCAAGAAACAAAAACAGCAGACAATCCGTGTTTGAGTGATCAAATATTTCTCAATTAGAAATTTTTCGTTTTTCAAATCATGGTAATCTTTAGTCTCAATCCATAACAAAACTTTATTGGCAAAGTCGAACGACATGACGAAAGACAGATAAAAATCGGTAAACTAATTATTGATTAAAACTACTGCATAATTTGCTAGCTAAAAGGTAACTAGGGAGGCATGGGCCCAGACGGGTCACCTGTCTAGTGTTGGATGGACGGAGGAAGATGTTGCTGAAGAGCGGCATGACGGTAGCAAGCTCAACGAGCTCCATATGTCTGCAGGAAACAACTGATCATAATATCAATATAACAAATAATGTAAATATGTACTGAAACATATTAAAATTGTGCTACTAGTGGCAAATGGTGATTGTGACTAGTGACAAATTGTGATATGTAACTACCAACATATGGTGATATGTAACTACCAACAAATTATAATAGGTATTGACTACTTCATGAGCACTCTCATGATATAGATACTCAACTGAACATACTGTATAAATTCAGGTTATTACTCAGTTATGTACTACATATACAGTAATAGTTGTAAGCTATATCAGCAAACGGCCATCATGGCTTCATTTCATTTCAGTCTTCGCATTTGTACCAACTTTTTGTAAATACTGTATAAATTCAGGTAATTACTCAGTTATGTACTACATATACAGTAATAGTTTGCGAGCTATATCAGCAAACGGCCATTATGGCTTCATTTCACTTCAGTCCCCGCATTTGTACCAACTTTTTGTACATACTGTACAAATTCAGGTAATTACTCAGTTATGTACATATACGCTATATCAGCAAACGGCCATCATGGCTTCATTTCACTTCAGTCCCCGCATTTGTACAAACTTTTTAACAAGCGCGCGTATAAGAGCCACGCTCGCCAGCACCGCGCCTTCGTCAGGCGCCACAGCGACACCTGCTATGACAGCGCAGCGGTCCAGGGACCTTAGAGAGGCGACTCCTAGCCTCGCCAGGCGATCTATACATTCCTGCAACAAACAAAGGAATTAAAAGGAAGAAAAACCTTCACTTCAGTTCATAATTGGCATTAAGGTTTACTTCAGTTCCTCAGTGGCATTAAGGTTTACTTCAGTTCCTCAGTGGCATTAAGGTTTACTTCAGTTCCTAAGTGGCATTAAGGAGCATGGTTTTGTCTATCAGATTGGTATAGGTACATATCAGGAAGATTGGTATAGGTGCATATCAGGAAGATGAGTATAGATGCATTTAAGGAAGATTGGTATAGTTGCATTTAAGGATGATTGGTATAGGTGCATAACCGTGCATTTCATGAAGATTGGTATAGGTGCATTAATAAAGCAAAAAGTGACATCCAATGGCTTATGATTTCGATTTTTAACTTTATTCTTCCTGCTTCAGATCAAGCAATGAAATATGAAAAAATGGCTGAAAGTCTGCATTTTTGGAGTTTAAACTTCATATCTATGCTTCTGTGAAAAAAAAATAATTTTTCAAACACAAGAGCAGTTGCGAGCAGGAACTATATAATATCTTCACTAAGAAGGGCATTTACTTCATTGCCATTTAAACAGTATTAACGTCAGAAAATTTGCATTGAAACTTCACAGTATCGATAGCACATTCATCCTGCTATGTATGTGCAAGGTAATTTGCTAGAATAACGCAAACCTATCGAGATGATATTTTCTCCGTGTAGGCAGCTAATATCGACAAATCCATGAATTTACTGAGCTTACATAACAGACACACAAAAAATCCCGCACCTGGGAAGAAATGTTTGGTAAGGCAGACGCTGCAAGGCGCAATCTGAACGCAGAAGCTGAGCTCCAAACTCCAGCGTCGTCGGTGACGGTCTTTTCTTCTTGTTTGATCCAACTCTGTGATAAATACAGCTTTGTATTACAACAAATTATGAGGCCTTTAAACTCCGGTAGAATACGTGGATATTGCAACAGACACATTGCCAAACAGCCAATCTATTCATTCATCACAAACTAGGAGCTTAACAAGAACTACGGTATATTGGGTATATTGAATGAAATAAATGACGAATATATAGAAAAAACCTCATGCCATCACTCATACTTGTGCATATATCAGGTGAAATAAATCACGAATCTATAGAAAAAAACCATGGCATCACTACTACTGGTGTCGACAGAAAATTTTTAGACATGAAAACTTCAGCTGTAAGCCAGCATTTTCCAAGCTGATTTTACTGAACCTGAGAAGTAGCAACAGTGGAAGGCGTGTTTCAATACAAATCGTTGGGCCTTGCTATCAAAACTCGCTCAGGTATACAATGTGGCCGAAGTTCACGTAGCGGCCAATTGCTCGTCTGAGAGGATTTAGCTTGAAAAGCCGTCAGTGAAGACGGAGTTACAAACTTAAAACTTTTTAGCGCATTTTCTCATTTATGGAAAAAATGCACAATTGTGCTCACATGTTCGTCTGTCTGTCTGTCCGTCAGTCCATGACCTCAAGTTTTCGTCGACGAGAAAATGCGCTCTCTGTCACTCACTGCAGTGAGTACTGTGTTATATTTTTTTCAATAGTACAGCCCATATAGCTAATGTGTTCCTGAAGGCGACTCACATGGAGAGTTCGGAGCTCCTCCTGGGCACAGGAGGAGCTGTCGCAGGACCTCAGCAGCCTCATGACGGACTTGGTGTGTGCCGAGCTGCAGCTGTCCAAGTCGTCATTACTTTCTCCATTAACAAAACTTCTTGAGTCTTCAATAATTGTTGAGTTTTCAAAGCTCTCGGTATTTTCTAAAACTCTCAGCACAGGCAGAAGCTGAAAAGTTAAAGAGGGCACAAATTGAAAGAAGATATTTGTTGATTCAAGTAAATTAAATAACATCAATTTTAAGAAACGCATCAATTTGTAACAAAATTAGGACTGAGTCAAGTCAAGTTGGCCACCACCAAAATGACTAAGCAATAAAGAGGTTTATGAAGCAATCTACATGAACGGGTTTTAGATAGCGCAGACAATCTTGCCTTCTGGTGAAGCTGATTCTCATTTTAATTAAGATGGCTCTTTCTCTATAAAAAAGATTCACATTGAAATAGCCCTAGAAGTCAATGAACCGTTGATTGTCAAAGGAATAAGTTAGATAACGAAACTAACCAAGACATGGAGAGTGAGGCAGGCGAACGCGTCACAGAGCTGCGTGTTGTGACCGCGCTGGGCTAGAGCGTTGTGCCATCTGCCGGTGAGTTTCAGGGTGCGAACCCAGCAGCTGTAATGAATGCGAACTTCAGTGAAAAGATGATAGGTACCACACTAAATAAAACATCAAGTGGAAGGGGATGACATAAAGCCATTTACCAAAATGAGAGGAAGAATAAGATCAGGAAATATTTATTTAGTCTCATTCTACTGAAATATTGGCAATCATACTGCAGGCTACAGCGTTCCAAGAAAACCGTAATTATTTATACTGCCAACGTCACATTAGCTTCAATCATGATACCAGCGAAGTTGATGGTAATACAATCAAATTTACAATAATGATACTTGCACCTGTAGATTTTTTTGGCAAACCTTACCTTGGAGAAAGAGCTTTTCCTCTCGTGACGACAAGTTTTAAGAAAGAACCTAGACTGTGGTCAGCATCATCACCATGCGGTACTCGGCCCACGTGCTGCCACACAACAAAACAACATTGAAGCTAATTATATCTCATTAAATAAATAATGATTATAACAGTAAATGATTTGAAAATTTCAAGCACATGTGAGAATGAGAATTTGTTATAAAATTTCACGAGGTCAAGTCGTTGATACAAACCTCATGGACTAACTGTAGAAATTTAAGGTCAAACGTCTTCTGTTCGCCAGAGAGGTTAGAAGCAGGGATGGTATGTTTTGTTATATCCAAACGCAGGCTAGAAACTGCCTCAAGCAGCCAAGCTTCACACTCTCCAAACTGTAAGGCAGAGATAAAAAACTTAGCGTTGCTATATAAAAGAAATAGATGGTGAAGAAGCTACGTATTACCGTAAGATTGCAACATACTACACAGTCAACATCCAAATAATGATGAATAACGTATAGATGATCTTTACAACCGCAAAAATTACTAAAATCTTTTTGAAATTTTTAGCTGCATCTCCCTTCAGTTATATTCAAGCTAAATTCAACAATTAGATTGCCTAAATCAGATTTTTTTAAAAACTTACACTCAAGTTATTTTATTAATATACCCAAATTTAGGGATTTTAGCTTTATGAAATTTAAAATATCAATAACCTAGAAGGTTACTAGTATATTTTAGGAGCATTGAAATAAAAAAGCTAATAAGACTTACAGGAATGTCATCAAGAACTTTGACATAAAAATTTAGAAATTCTGAAGATTTCAAATGCAAAGCCCCCGAAGTATGTGCCGCAGTCAGCGCAGCAATTGTCCCTTCGCACTGAAAAAAAAAATAACATCAACAATATAATTGTTGCCAATAAAAATTAAGTGCATCAATGAATTAAATGTCATGAAGAGCATTGAATAGGAAATCAGGCATAGCAGCCTATTTAACATAACAAATTAAACAAATGTACAGGTTGAATAAACTGCTCAGTAACAGCCTATTTAACATAACAAATGTACTGGTTTAACAAACTACTCGTGCAATAACTCGAGTGGTTGAGACCACATTAATAGTCGATATCCTTCTGCACATTTGAAACTGTCAGATTTGAAGCTGAAAAATTACTTGTTTGAAAATTACTACAGTAGGTATATCATTAACGATTTATTATGAAAGTGTCTCAGATACTCAGATATATAACCTGATATTGAGAAGACCTCAGTAATATTGTGAGGGCAGCAGATGCTGCACGCTGCACGAAGACGCTGGGATATGACAGACTGGGGAGCAGCAACTTGTCCCTCAAGTTGTGAGAAATGATCCATGAATGACCTGAAAATGAACAATTATGAACATTAGATTAAATACTTGTCTCTCACGGTGTGAGAAATGACCCATGAATGACCTGAAACAACAAATGAACAATTATGAATGTTAGATCAAATACTTGTCCCTCAAGTTGTGAGAAAAAAGACCCATGAATGACCTGTAATGAACAATTATGAACATTAGATCAAATACTCAAGACACTGATGTTTTTTGACATGAGTTGTTATATTTTGTTCAATTTAATCCAATGACACTCATGTTTAACAAGTTGAACTTATGAATTTTGATTAATTTAATTGTAAACTGTGAATCCAAACCATGTTACAAGGTAGTCAACATAAAATTTTACAATATTAATTTAGATTTAGAACACATGAATATGTAGAAAATAATAGGAATAAAAATGTCACCATATTCACCTGCTTGGTTCTCAAGCATTTCCAGTACAACAGTGAGGAGGGCATGAAGAACTGAGCTGTTCATTGTGTTTAAGTTTGGAATGTGTTTGTGGTCAATGACAGGGCTCGGGGCGCCATCATGCAGGCTGTTGGGGGCACCATTGTTTTCTTGTGATGATGGAATAAGCCTCAACAAACCCTCTATTATCTGCATAAGAATAAGTATAAATTTCTTGTGTTAACAATGATAACTGAGAAATGATTGTAGTATCTTTTTATAAGTTAAAGTAATATCTCTTATTTCAGTTACAGTTAAGTTTTATTAAGTTTATTTAGTTGAAGTAATACGTACCTCTCTGCTTAAAGTGAATATACAACAAACATCTTATGAGAGAAAGGTTCACTTTTACCAAGAATACTCAAGAGAAATTGCTGGGCCTATACTTTCAAAACAATTTAAGAGATCGTAAGTTCATCAGCCAATCATTGACGGCTTTTTGAGCAAAATCCACCAATCATAGACAAGAAAACAGAGCGTAGGTAGTACTTACGTTCACTTAGCAAGTTTTGAAAGTATGGCCCCTGTAGGCATTTAAAAATTTTGGTGTGCATGACAGTTCAATAATATTCAATTCACAAGTTTAAACGGGGAATTATAAGGGAAATAAGTCCTTCTTATACATTGAAAGCTTGCCTTTGATTCTTCAAGAGCTTTGAAGCCCAGTTCATTTTTGGCCATGGACGCAGTGCACTTGAGAGCCAAGGCCAGAGTGGCAGCATTGCAACCACTCTGGTGGTGGGAGAAGCTCCAGCTGATGAAGTCCAGCAGGCTAGTTGCCTGGCACCATTTTAAACCTTAAATAAAGATAAAATAATAGTTTTTCTTAATTATATGAGCAACAGTTCCAACTTTTTGCATTCAAAAAAATATGGAAGAGCTGACACAGAAATTATCAAAATAAATGAAGAACTATCCAGTTATATACATATTAACAATTTTCTCAAGAGTTTGCAAAATAATTTTTCATGCGTGAAGTATATTCCTGAACTTATTTATAATGAATCAGTTACCATCAAATAAGGTAATAAGGGACGGGCGGGGTAAAACGGGACAGTCGTCACACATTTCATAGAAATTACCTATGTTGTAGCAGCTAAACTAATCAAAATATTGCAAAACTAGAAATAGTGGCATAAAGTTAAACATTTTTACTATTTATGTAGCATGAAGTAATTTAAGAAATCATATATTTATTACCTCTAAAAAATTTCTGAAAAAAAGTGTGAAAAGTGAGATTTTGGAAATGTACCTCTGCTAAGGTGTGTAGAAAAAAAACATTTGCCATGTCATAAAATTTTGCTTACATAAAAGCTGCACACAGGTGTTGGCTTATTAATGTGATTGACAGAATTCACATATCTCATTATAAAAAATGGCAGCCATTTCAGCAGGACAGGGTAATAAGGGACACCTCCCCGGGGTAACAAGAGACACCCCTAAAAATGCATTCACTGTAGAACCTTGATTAACAAAGGCTCCAATTAATAAAAAATCAATAAACAACAAAAAAATTTTGATTATACTTACCTCGCTCAGCTAGAAAAATTCACGTAATGAAAAATTAATGCATCATCGGCCATCACAAAATTGTGCAAAGAATGTCAGATAGAATTGTGCACTGGGCAACATAAAATGAAAAGTAATTAACCTAAACTATGATTTATTTCTCAGAAAAATATGATGATTGTCACTGGAATATTCCTTTCTGTTTCGAGTATGTTTTTAATATCTTTTTTTTTTGTAGTGAATTCATGTGACCCAATTAAAATGGAGTGAAATTACAAGCCGTCCTGCAAGCTTACAGATACAGAAAAGTGCTATACAGTGCCGATATGAAGCTTGCAGTGGACAAGGTTGTTGTAAATGCTCAATGGCATGTTCATGGATATGTTAATATCACATCAACAATACAGTAATATATGGATATGATAATATCTTTTCAATAAAGGAAAAACAAGTAAAATCCACAGAAAATATTAGTTATTACACATCTACATCATCTACAAAGAAAATGAAGGACTTTATATTACTGTTAGTAATAGATGAGTACACTCTGCATGCTTCAAACATTTTAAAATTAAGTTTTATATCAAGTGCCCCAGATTACCCTGTTCCCAGGGGTAATTTGGGACACTTTTATTTTGCCTCTTGCGAATAGCATTTGGTATTTTTTTAAAGATGCCATGCAATAGCCCTCGCAAGGAGCTGTAAAATGAGCCCAAACTTGTTTATGAAATGCTTCATGGTAATAAGGTATTAACAAAAAATGCTCAAAACTGTCCCTTATTAGCCCATTTGACAGTACGTATATTAGCTTTAAAGAGGAGTGGCCACAAATATTTTATGATTTCAACAATTTGCTGACTAAAGAACATGGAGATCTTGGGAGCATTATTGTCTGCACTAAATTATTGTTCAACAACCTGGTTTTTATTTACTTATACCGTCAACTGGGGCTACTTGGGATGATTTCGAACATTTTTCATTCATACCTTCTTACCATGTTTACATTTCATAAACAAGTTTAGGCTCATTTCAAAGCTCTTTGCAAGGGCTATCACATGGCTTCTCCAAAAAAAATCCATATGCTATTCGTACGGTGCCAGAAGCAAAAAAAGAGTGTTCCGAGTAGCCCCGTCGAATGGGGCTACATGGGACACTTGGAATAAAACTTCATTTTAAAACATTTAAAGCATGCAGTGTACTCATCCATTACTAACAGTACTCTGAAGTCCTCCTCTTTCATTGTAGATGATGTAAAGGTAGAATAAATGACATTTTTTGTGATTTTTACTTGTCTTTCCTTTATTGATATATTACCATATACATTACCGTATTATTGATGCGATATTACTGTATTATTGATGCGATATTACCATATCCATGAACATGCCATTGAGCATTTACAACAACCTTGTCCACTGCAAGCTTCACATCAGCAGCCTTATATAATAAATATATGGTTATATTTCAATTAAATATATTGCCTGGATATATACACATCATTCAATTTTTTAATTTCATAGTATGTCTTGATTTGAGATCAATTATTGATGAGTAGGAAAAACAAAGTAATTCAAGTTTGTGCCCAAAGGCTACCCCAACAGTTCCTAAATAAAATTTTTAACATTTCTGTATGATTTTATGCAGCATTGCCCATGTCTGGGAGCAACATTAGAAAATTCCTACTAATTATTGAAACCTTGCAACTTTTAAGGAATATTTAGCACATACTTTGGAATTGTATACAGCTCAATCCAGATCCAGAACTTTTGTTAACAATTAGATAGGAGCTAATTCATCTAGTAGGAATTGTGCAGCTTCAAAAATAGAAGGAAAGCTATTATTGTGGCTCAAAAAGTAGATAAATTCCATTACAGTATGAGAAGACACGGTTGCAACAACAGAGTGATGATGTCAAAGTCGACAATGGAAAAAGATTTAGGAGTTAATATTGACAATGAGTTGAGTTTTCTAAGCATATTGAAGGTCAAGTTAATAAAGCCAATATATAAATGACTTGGAGTCTTGGAGACTTAGACTGATCAGACACTCTTTTGAGTTCAATTTTGCACCAGCAGGTAACCTGCCAAAGTGCAAAATTGAATAGAAGCTGCTCTCAAATCAGAAAAAAGCACCAGTGTATCAGGCCAATTCAACTGTTCCTTTGGCATTTTTCAAAATTTCTTCACTGAAAAATAAGAAAATTGGCAATAAGAAAAAAAGAAGAATAAGAAAAAATGTTGTCAGCAATTTTAGAAAATTATCTGCAAACAATTGTCTTTACCATGATTTTCATAAACTTCTGCCCAATATTCTAAATTAGGCAGCCTGAGGCTGAACCCGTTCTTTGCAGATCATCACAGCAGATGTGCATTGCATACAGGCTACAGCTTTATGTAAAAATTAGAGAGGATTGCATAATGCATAGGAATAGGGACTAGGGAGAATAGGTATCTTTAAATCTAAAGAAAGAACATAGCCTATTTTGAAATTATTTACCAACAAAACATTTAACATTTTGGAAGTATCTTATGCATAAAAACTTCTAATTATCTTGACATAATTTCTCTTCCTAATTCCACTGTCAAACAGGTAAAATAGGTCAGATTTACAAGAGTTTATGCATTAGGCTATGCCCAATTTATGGTTAACTTCTGCCCAACAAGCCAATATTCTACTAACTACTTTGCTCACACGTCAGACGTCAGTTTAGTACTAGTAGGCTACGGTACCTAATGAATCACGCACTTTTTATTTTAGAAAAAAATTGTGATCTTGGTAATCTAATCTTGGTAAACTAAACTAAACGAAAACTAAATAAACTATTTTTGAGCATATAATTAGTGAAGGTTTATGAACTTGTATAAGTTATATGAAAATGATATGCATTAAATTTGTGAAGTTCTTACCACATTCATGGTCGAAACTGCTCAATATTGTTTCTAATGCAGTGTGTAGTTTGATAAGTACGGTGTCATCTTCAACTTCAGCATTCGGCTGCATCAAGCAACCTAGAGTGTTTGTTAATCTTTCCTTGACTCTCATTGCGTCTCACTTTTTATACGATAACGAAGAAGCTTACAAAATAACACTTCAGTCTAATCATGTCAACAGAGAAAAAGTATTGAAACATGGGAGCAGCAGCAGCAACCTCCTACCCATGCTGCACCAGGAGTGCGAATGCGATTTCATATGAGGCGCTTCATTCAGCACTCAAAGTGCGGAACGAAGCGATCTTTAATTCAACCTTGCAAAACTGTCTGGAAAATTGTACTCTGGTTTAGACCTATTTATTTACTTTCACTCCAAACAGACTAAGCAATAAAAACGTAGATAAGCTATACCCATGGTTGAAGTAATAGTTTAACCATGCGATATACCATTACGTTAAAAATTCTTAATATGTTTTATAAAAATAAATACAGCATAAACTGATTTATAGTTACGTAATTTCGACATTTAAAAATTGGCTTCAGAAAAGAGCCTCAATTTGTGCGGGACGTGCTGTAGTTGTTCTCCCAAATGTATATAATTAATTTTATTTTGTTTTCTTATTCATTAAAAACTTAATCGTATTTATAAGTAACCTTGGTTCGAGTTAAATTTACAAATATAAACCATACCATAATAAAATAACAGCATTAAATTTGCACTAATATAAATAATAATAATAGCGGTTTCGGCGTTTATTAGGCCATAGGCCTGTCGCTGATTCTTAACATCGCAGAACATCCACAGCTTGTTGCGGTTTCAAACTTACAACTCACTGATTCAAATTTTGCTGTGCTAAACCGCCCGGCCTCCTTGCCGATTCTGACCAGAAACTGGCGAACAGAGCTGGGATCGAACCCGCGCCTCTCTGCGCCAATCTTTGTACTCTGAACCTTAACCACTGGGCCACCCTGCATTGACCAAGAGCAGGGTGGCCGTATTTATACGCATAGCCGTATAAATAGCAAACGAGGGCAAAATATAAAAAATTGTCTGGATCTAAACATCACCCGTTGGGAGGTTAGGTATTAATATACAAAGTTTCATTCAAATCGGTTAAGTATTTTAGAAGAAACTTCTTGTTCATTGCAAATTTAAGCAAATATTGCTGTTTAAATGACGAATGAGGGTGAAATGGAAAAAAATTGTGAAAGAAGGCAAAATCTAGAAAATTTTCATGAGTTAAACATCACCGTTGGATATTTACGAATGTATTTTAAAAATTTCGTTAAAATCTGTTCAGTAATTTAGAAGAAATGTCATGTTCACTGCAAATTTCGGCACGTTTAGCCATATAACTCACGAATGAAGACGAAATTAAAAAAATTTCAGCAGCTAAACAACACCAATATAGGTATTAATGAATATATGTACCTAGTTTCATCGAGCTGCGTTCTTTACTTTGGGAGATATTCCTTGTTCACCGAATTAGGAGATTGGCCGTGAGACCGGCCGTAAATTTGTCCGAGATGCATTGAATCCTCACCCGTCTCTTTCACCACCGTCGTCAACCCAACCATCTAGAAAATTTCCATTCACTTGTAAAAAGTGAAGCATATCGAATGAACCATCCTACTTCTAGGATACTTCCACTTCCATTTCTCTTCCAGGTAGAGAGGTTTAAGTCCGAGAGAGGCTTTGGCTTCATCGCCTCGCAGCCTCCCGCTCCCCTTGCCCTCGGAGCTGCAGGCGCTTGACTGATAGGCTAACGTTTCCGGCGGTAGAATTTTTTGAAGAGGGAATTTTAAAACTTAATTACAGCTGTGAAAATATTTTAAGTTGTCCTGGAACTGTGTAGAATAATAGTGCTCGAGTTTCTCATCTATGTATATGCAAAAAATTGTGTGTTCTGTGATTCGTTTCGCCTTAATAAAAAGCCCTCATGTATTAACTTATAAAAAATCCCGTCAATAATCGAATTCAACACAAGGAAAAAAATTCAACTCTGTACTGTATGCTAGTTTTGTCGGACGTCTCTTTATCTGATGATATTACACAAATAATAAATTCCACGAATTTGCCTTCAACATTGATTACTTATATTTAGATCTTTTTACATAGATACCTTAATTATGTACACTACAGTGTTTGGCCACTCTAACGATAACCGTTCTGTAGAAACAAATAAACGCTATATCTTTGGTTAACGATATACCTCGTAGATTCAACTGTTCAACATAGACTCTGTAAGTTGACAACACTCTAGCTGTAAAATATGCACCAGAAGAACTGTACTCATTATTTCAAGTAGACAAATTAAAGCTATTGTTATTATGGCTCTGATATTATATTAAATTATTCACTTTCCTTTCAGTACGCATCGAAGTTCGTTTGTATTTGAAATAAAAGGCATCGTTTCTACAGGACGGTTGACTCACGAGAGTATCTGGATCATGAGTATTAATGACCTATGCTGCGTGAATACATGAGACTCTTAGTACGATTTCCAGTACCAGTATCTCCTATAAACATCAATACACGAAATTCCGAATGTAAATGCTAGTTTACATCGACGCTACATGGTCTAGACGCTCTAGTGTTCGACAGTATATAGGAAGATGACACAGAATTTCTGTAGGATTCCACACGAACATACAATATGACAGAGCGCAATAAGGGACTACCGACTAAAAGACTTGCGTAAAACTACCATCGCTCGGCATAGTCCACTAGTTTATCATAAATTCTTTTCATCTAGAGCTTGATCTCCAAGAAACAGCTTCCACCGTATAAAATTCCCATATGTTGAATTATTTTCAACGGATGTAATAGCGGTTATAGCGGTTTCAGCGTTTATTAGGCCGTAGGCCTGTCGCCGATTCTTAACATCGCAAAACATTCACAGCATTTTGCGATCTCGAACTCGCAACTCACTGCTACAATTCTGCTATGCTTAACCGCCCGGCCTCCTCGTCGATTCTGACCAGAAACTGGCGCACAGAGCTGGGATCGAACCCGCGCTTCTCTGCGCCAATCTTGGTACTCTGAACTGTAACCACTGGGCCACCCTGCCTAAACTTGCCTGAATTAGTATTTTATTAATTAAAGTTTTTAATCACACAGCCTCAAGTACAAGCTTTGGTTCACAATATGTGAGTCCGCCCTGATGCATTCTCTAACATGTCGACAACGTGTCACTATCAGACGCGGCCGCTGTCTTGTGTCTGTGAGTCACCCACTGCCTTCTAATACAATTATAACAAAAGTATGAAAGAATGATAGAAAAATCTATACGATTTGAACACAATACAAAATTGTAAATTCAAATCAAGATTTAAATTTTGAACAGACGATACATCTCCCTTAGAAATACAATCTCTAAAATATCCTCCATTGTTGCCGAAATTTTCAGAATGTATCTTTTAAATGTATATTTTAAAGAAACATTTCAATAAAGAGACTAACACAAATGAAGCCAAACCTCGTTCCAAAGTTCAAAGGTAACACGTTATAAAAGCCAAGAGGTCATATATGTTCCCAATCCCAAAAAGAGGTAACACGTTATACGAGTACCGTTGCATTAACATGACGCTACTTCAATGAAGATGGAGAGGGCAAGAAATGTACAATATTCCAGACTTTTGAGCATCGTATTGCTTGAAGCTGCACATGAATTCAGTTTTGTTTCTTTCTAAATTTGCGTATACCTACTCACGATCCATTAAAACTTGAAGGGAGGTAATGGTTTTACATAATAGAGCACGACATGAACACTGCTACAGAGAAGAAAGAACTACTTACATTGAATAAATTCTCAAAGTTGCTGCATCTCTGTTTCTCACACAAGTTTAACCATCACAACCCACGTGTTCAACACTTGAGACAGTGAAACTTCAGAAGAATGATGTTGACAAAATGATCTAAGTTGAATTTGCGTGAACGCCATCACTGATTGTTTCTTCATGTTAACTAGGGTTAAAGAATCGCAAATTCTCGTCTCGTAATAAACACGAAATCCTGTAGAATTATACGACAAATTTTCCTGAACAGGCAATGACAACTTCTGAAGACTTCTGCATAACCGCACTAACGATAAGAATAATTTCTTTAAAAGTGTTTTCCAGAAATTCTGATCTAGCTGTTAAAATGAATTATATAATATCACTGAACGTTGACTTGTCATCTACACATGAACATTAGTAAGCTAACAAATGTGGTTAAACATCTCTATAAAAAGGGAAGTAAACGTTGGGTCATACTTAACATAAAACACATAGAAGATTTACATCGATTTGAGCAGGGAAAAATAATGTTTACATGAAGGGACGCAAGATATGCCACTTTCAAGATATCGGAAATCAATTTTAAAGTATGAAACTTGTCTCTGATCTTTTGAATCTTGATTATTCTACGCATAAAGTTTCTAAAATGTAGTATTAAAGTTAATAAAATTTCATTTAATCGGGATATAACAGAGGCGTTCTCGTTTTTAGAGTAAAAGAAAGACGAGTTTATAAATGAAATGAACGTCAACTTTGCGAGGCAAAATTTAATACAGGACTGTATGAACGAGAAACTTTTGCTAGATTTTAACGAGTATACGAGTATATTAACAGAAGTAATTAATAATTAAATTCAAGCAGACTGCATTATCGCTACTCGACATGTCCCACTGCAATGAAATTCATTTCAAGAATTCATTGAATTACCATGTTCATTTCGAATATCAACGATCGAGTTGCATTTTATATTTCACGAACGAAAACATTCATATAAAATATATAAATATGATTATATATTATAAATAATTTTGCTTAAATAAATTAAATTTTCATTTGCTTAAATTAAAATATGTCCTCTTATAATAAAGATTGCATCCAAGGGCACATTCTTTAATTCATTTGTTCTGATTTAGAGGAATACAAATTGTAGCCGAATACGATAATTAATTACGATAATAACTTTAGCAACGACAGTTACAGTTCCCGGATTCAACTAAAATTACTAAATGCTCAGGATGTAAACTTTTTAGTTGCAGTTTAAACGTTCATATTACTATCACTTATTGTCTCTTCCCTGTACAGCGTGCATTATAAGCTGTACAGTAATCATCTTCACTGTACAGCGTGCATTATAAGCTGTACAGTAATCATCTTCACTGTACAGCGAGCATTATAAGCTGTACAGTAATTATCTTCACTGTACAGCGAGCATTATAAGCTGTACAGTAATTATCTTCACTGTACAGCGTGCATTATAAGCTGTACAATAAGTGTCCATGCCACACTCTCCAGACCTCGCATAGCAAACGTGCAAACTTATTGATAAGGTCGTTTATCAATATGTAATCACTCCAAACTTATTGATAAATGTACAAATATATTCTCTTCTAATATTAGAATGCTATTATATCTTTTATTCTATTGGACATATATACATGAATCATCTCCAGGCTAAACAGAACGAATCGCGGTGCCATGAAAGTCGATTGTTGCGCGGGATGATAAGTTGTTGTCTCCCTTTTAAACAGAAAACGTTGGAGCAATGCTTATTACGTTGAAAAACGTTTAGTTATCAACGTTAGATGCCATCGTCTGCACCTTCAGGCTAATGACGTTGATTACGAGTTAATTTAGTTCAATTAACAACATTACTTCAGCGTCAGATGCCTGGTGGGTTGCTATGCACGGCGGTTTCCATAATATTTACTCCATCAAAAAATACGATTGCCTTGAGTTCAGAGATGAATAAGGGAAATTTAATAGAGTATGAATGGAAGAGCCATCAAAAATTTTCCGCTTGGCTTACGTTACAGTCATGAAGGTGATAGAGGTGAATGGCTTCATAAGAATCTCGGTTTAAACAGACAAACGTTGAGGGAACTATACACAGACTATTATGTCGATATTAGCAGCTCTATACAGACAGGGTCCGCGTATGCCGCGACATATGAGAATATACGCATAACTACGTAAGTGCGATAGTGCATAGACGGGGATTTAGTTTTAAGAAATAGCTCTCTCCTCTGCCTTCAGCTTATAGATTGTAATTGTCTCAACGCACTTCATACTTTTACCACAAAACAAATAAAAATTTTTCAGAAGTAACGATCAATAAATTTGCCAGCTTGTAATATCAACACTTCAAGCGAAGACACAAGTTTATTGAGAACATTGCTTCTATGTTTGATGCATCTGCGTTGCAAAACTTGCCATGAATCACGACAAATTTTAGAGCCGTACCAGAGCCTGATCTTCACCAGCTGCGCAGCTCTAAAATTTTTTAATGTAAAGCAACTACCCGCATGCGCTGCAATCTACCAGATCCAGATTGTGCGTCGCATGTTTAACCTCAGTTCTAAAGGATCAATTAATTTAAGATACAAAAACCATGCAAAAGTTTACAGTGAAATAATACTAAAATTCTCGTGTAAGCTTGAACATTTTACGATTTATAAATTAAGATATTGATCAGGGGCCATACTTTCAAAACTCGGCCGTCAATAATTGGCGGATGAACTTACGATCTCTTAACTTTTTTTGAAAGTATAGGCCCAGGACGTGAAACAATTTCGAACAAGCATCATTCTTAATATGCCATATGAGAATTCTGTAAGCGTAGCCAAGTACCTACGAGTTAAAATTTCTCTCTCAGTCTGTCTTTACTTTCAGAATGCGCCTAAGAATGTGACGTATCGAACAAATTGAAGAATTATAGACTAATTCGAGAACTCCGGCCGTGATAACTACCATGTAACCAGCGTAGGTCGTTAGACAGGTCGATGCCACACCATTTCGCGCAGTCTCGCCTCGCTCTCTTGGGAACCAACGGCTAGTTCAAATGACTAGATGTGAACCACTGTGCAGTCAAATAATATCTATAATCATATTCGGTTATTAATGTAGTTAGTGGTATCATCTTGTTCATAATGTACTAGTCTATCATAACGCAAGGGCGGCGCAGATAGCAATGACACCAAAATGAGATGCTCGCTTCTGTAGGGCCCAAAACCGAGACGGGAGCTAAGTCAGGGGACGCTGGCCGTTCCTACAGGCAATATAAAGGCCTTTGCCGTACTATTAAAGGCCTGGGCCGTACTATTAAAGGCCAGGGCCGTACTATTAAAGGCCTGGGCCGTTCTATTAAAGCCTGGACTGTACTATGAAAGGCCTGGGCCATACTATTAAAACTAGGTAAGTACATACATGTAGCGGCCCAAGCACAAGTAGCGGCCTTAGTACACGGGTTGGCCTATATGTTAACGTTGCGGCCTAAATACACGTAGCAGCTCAAGTGCACGTAGCGGTACTTGCTCATCTTTGATTGGTGAAATTAACTTGAAAAACCGTCAGTGATTGGCTGACGGAGTTATGAACTCGTAACCTTTTTTGATAGTACGGCCCTCGGCCCCAATACAATGCAGGCATTACCGGTCCCCATTGCCTCGGTCCGCCCCGACACTAGTGCTTATGAAGAGAGTGCACATGTAAAAGGTACAGACTAGCAGGAGGAACTTGGGATATGACTTCATTACATACGACTGCAGACATGTGACTTCACTACAGAGGCCTGCAGACATGGTAACAATAGCTAAATTCAAGGCAAGTTGCCTTAAGTGGTAAATGAATTTATTTATCATGGTAAATAAAATGTTAAGAACATTGGGGATGACAACAGTAACGATAGTCATTTCACTACCAAATTAAAAAGAGATATTGTAATATAAAGATCTGGGAGATATTTAATTTACGCAGCTTTCATTAAAAATATAAATTCAATTTCCGTTTGATGAAATAAACAATTTTTTAATCACAGAGTCTTTGCTCACCACATTTCAACGGGGAAAATCAACAGCGTGACTTCACATCGTCGTTTTGCTATCTGTGCATAACAGACAATACGCAATTAGGGGGATTTACGGTTACGGTCTGGTCATAAACTGTGAACATTACGCGTGATGCTATCATCTGATGATGTATTATGACATCATCCAAAGATATGTCACGGCGCCATCCGATGATGACGTGTCCTGACGACCTGAATGCGGCGGAACGGAACGCATGGAGACGCTGATCCTTCAGCTCACTGATGAAGGGCCCCGTCATCCCTTCCATTAGGCTGAGTCACGCTGCAGTTGTTGTTGCTGGGGGCGTTGAGGTCGTCACCGGTGAGACTGTCACAAAAACGGCGGGTAAAATATGAATAAATTAAACAATGGAAATGAATAAAATATCATGAAAGATCCAAGCATCGGTATTCATATTGAGTTAAGTACAGGGCGAAATTATAGAAAATTAGGGTAATGTAATCAACGTTAGGATTACAGGTCGGAGATACATCGTGTATGCAGTAGGGTAAGACGTCTAGTAATTTACATACAAATCTACGTACACGAAATGAATTTCAGATGCGGGTATGAAGACATCGGGACTCTCATTAATGTTCCCACAATCTCACCTCAGTCTCAGTACCACTCTTCGATCCCATCTCCCCGACCTAAGTCCCCACGCCCCGTATCTCACCCCGGAGGTGCCCCAGGGAGAGGTCCCGTGGGTCGGGTCACGGGCTTCTTGCCCACGATGTAGTAGGTGTCTCTTATACACATCTAGATGTGTATAAGAGACAGTCTCTTTATCTGNATTTCAGATGCGGGTATGAAGACATCGGGACTCTCATTAATGTTCCCACAATCTCACCTCAGTCTCAGTACCACTCTTCGATCCCATCTCCCCGACCTAAGTCCCCACGCCCCGTATCTCACCCCGGAGGTGCCCCAGGGAGAGGTCCCGTGGGTCGGGTCACGGGCTTCTTGCCCACGATGTAGTAGGTGAGCAGGTCGCCCCACGCCCCCCCCCCACCTAAGTCCCAAACATCCCCCATCTCACCCCGGAGGTGCCCCAGGTAAAGGTCCCGTGGGTCGGGTCACGGGCTTCTTGCCCACGATGTAGTAGGTAAGGAGGTCGCCCTTGCCCTTAACAGCAATCACGCCGCGCTGCTCGAACACGTAGCCGAAGTGCTCCAGGATACGTGTTGTCTCCTGCGTCACCTGGCAACAAGAGGGAGAAGTTGATAATTATTATTAAAATTATTAATACAGTTATAAATCTTTTTTTTCATTATTGTTATATTAGTTACGTTAAACCCCCGTTCTGGTTTACCTGCACGGGAGTTTTCAAGTCACATGGCAACGAGGGAGAAGTTGTTAATTATTATTAAAATTATTAATACAGTTATAAATCTTTTTTTTCATTATTGTTATATTAGTTACGTTAAACCCCCGTTCTGGTTTACCTGCACGGGAGTTTTCAAGTCACATGGCAACGAGGTAGAAATTGCTAATTATTATTAAAATTATTAATACAGTTATAAATCTTTTTTTTCATTATTGTTATATTAGTTACGTTAAACCCCCGTTCTGGTTTACCTGCACGGGAGTTTTCAAGTCACCTGGCAACGAGGTAGAAATTGCTAATTATTATTATTAATACATTAATGAATCACTTTTAATCATTAATATTATACTAATTAAATGAAACCCCCGTTCTTAATGACCTGCACGGGTCTTTACAAGTGTTTTTTGCTATTTAGAAAGTCGCACTTATTTCCGAAACAAAAAGTACTTCTCTATTGGGACAACGACTCAGTGATAAGTTTGAGTATGAGAAATATTTCAATAGACTAGCAGCACCTGGATGCAGCCGGCAACAATAGACTAGCAGCACCTGGATGCAGCCGGCAACAATAGACTAGCAGCATCTGGATGCAGCCGGCAACAACAGACTAGCAGCACCTGGATGCAGCCGGCCTTGCCGGTTGACTCCATGCGTGACGCGACGTTGACAGTGTTGCCCCAAATGTCGTAGTGGGGCTTGCGCGCCCCGATCACCCCCGCCGTGATGGGGCCGTGGTTGATGCCTGCGCGGAAATGGGGATTGATTAATGAGAGAACTTCAGGTAATGGGGATTAATTAATGGGGGAGAACTTCAGGTAATGGGGATTAATTAATGGGGGAGTTACTTCAGGTGATGGGGTGAATGGGGGAGAAGCTCAGTTGGTAAGGGATTAATGGCAGAAAACCTTTAGATAATGGAGCTTAATTAATGGGGAGACACTCCAGGTAATGGGGCTCAATTATTGGAGGGGAAACTCCGTAGGATGCGATAGCTTGATGTTCCATTGCCATTAGAATCAGGTTGGTTCATGGCCAATGTTCATTAAAATCAGTTTGGGTTGAGATGAAAGTTGCAGCGTCGTTGAGTCGCGTTAGGCGTGACCAGGGACTCATCCATCCTGAGGACGTTGAAGGACTCAGCCATCCTGAGGACGTTGAAGGACTCACGCATCCTGAGGACGTTAAAGGACTGAGCCATCCTGAGGACGTTGAAGGACTCGTGCATCCTGAGGACGTTAAAGGACTCAGCCATCCTGAGGACGTTGAAGGACTCAGCCATCCTGAGGACGTTGAAGGACTCAGCCATCCTGAGGACGTCGAAGGACTCAGCCATCCTGAGGACGTTGAAGGATTCAGCCATCCTGAGGACGTTGAAGGACTCACGCATCCTGAGGACGTTAAAGGACTGAGCCATCCTGAGGACGTTGAAGGACTCAGCCATCCTGAGGACGTTGAAGGACTCACGCATCCTGAGGACGTTGAAGGACTCACGCATCCTGAGGACGTTAAAGGACTCAGCCATCCTGAGGACGTTGAAGGACTCACGCATCCTGAGGACGTTGAAGGACTCACGCATCCTGAGGACGTTGAAGGACTCGCCTATCCTGAGGACGTTGAAGGACTCACAT